TCGTTGTCTCAGAACCATAGCTCGTGTGGGTTGGTGTCGGCGAATCCGTAACGAGGCAGTTAGAAAGCGTGTTTTCGGTTGTGTAACGGGTACTTCCATTGAAGAATATGTCCAGCACCAGAAGCTACGTTGGTTGGGACATGTGTTACTTTTGCTGAACTATCGTTCGCCGAAGAGACTTCTATTTTCCATTCTCAACTCAGAGTGGCGTAAACAGAGAGGTCGCCAACCCTGACTTGGCATCCATCCAGATTGTCTGAGTGAGTGTCTGGGGATGTAGGCACCTCGGAACTGTTGTGGAAAGCTAGCATTAAGTCCCTTCCCCGCCCAGTTTTACTCTTTTCTTTACAATAGGGCTTTCAACTACATCATGGTTGCACGGCAGTGAAGCATCGGTTTTGAAAAGTGATGTAATACTGTCCATGATGACGATGATGATGATCAGTGTTTAACTGTACTGTGCGTGACTGGAACGTCATTCAATTCTATCCCAACATGACTAGGTGAACTGCTTAGCAGAAACTCTATCAAGTTCCATGTAACCTATTCCGATTTTTAATGCTCCCAGAAGCAATCGGCATAGGGCGCTGTTTACTTCGTTAATGCCCTTGGGAGAACCTTCTGTGGATGGTCAAACCTACTTGGAACTAAAAAACTAGCACATTAAGGCGAATGCATTCCTAACTGTCATCTAATTATATTTCTACAGAATAGCTAAATTAGTGCACTTATATTCGGTGATGGGGACCATCAGCGTTTAGTGCATTAAATACCTTACTACACATTCTGACCTACAATATTTTGAATGAATAGAATGGTATCGTCTACTCATGAATCTACTGTCCTTATTTGAGTGCCGTAGCTTTTCTAAAGTTTTCAAGAACCAAAAAGTGCCCTGAGACTCGAGTACCCACAGGTCCATATTTCTGCGCACTCCATATGCTTCAGCTGAACATTCCGACTCACGATACCAGTTGCCCATCTTATTGTTCCAAATATTCTCTCCTTGGTTGAAAATATGGTTCAAAAACTCTCTTCTCTTGAAAACGTCATAGTTCGGTTGACCTAGATTTCTCTCGATTCAGAACATCTTGGTATTGTTAATCAAACTCCGGTTGACAGTGAACACTTGTTTGCTCAGTCAGAATACCCAAGATATTGAGCAATGCAATTATTTATCTCTCGGAATCACTTGTTAGTTGAACTTTTGATCACCAGGATGAATTCGGATCTAGGGGAAAAGACAGTCAGATCAAATTTTACCTCCGGCAATTACCCGTAAATTCTGTTCTGTAAAAACTGTCTGCGATCGACAGACCACTTGAAACCAAATAGATGAAACAGAATCAGGAAGAAACGTACACGAGATCTAGAGTAGGACAGATATTCAGGGCTGTTGATACAAACAAGCCATAAAAATTAGATCATATCAACCATTAATCTGAAGCCAGTACAAGCTAAAACGCCCAGAAGCTCTTTACAGCCGTTTTATTTTTATTGAGAATCGTCAACAGTTCGCACCTCACAAAAATTCAGAGTCTCGAACCCACGACCTCCTAGTTAGTAGTTTGATCTGTTAGGTCTATAGTGACCGATTAGCAGTGTGTTTCATTCACACTCAGACGGGGTATGATAATTTGCAGTTTTAAGGTCCCTGCAGTGTGGTAAATCAAGCGCAACTCGTGTGCCAAACTTCGATCTTTTGCGTTCTTTAACTGATACTTCTGCCTCATTCAAGTGCACGGCACCTGAATGCAAATGCCTTTGCATTTCTCTGTTCATTTAGGACAAACCTCTGATCTGGAATTACCATAACGATCGGCCACATTGCACAATAAGATGACCATTTTGCCACGAAAAAAATTGAGGTGGAGTTCATTTATAAGCAGTCCATTGGGAACATTGATTATTTGAGTGTGAACGTTGAGTGGAACAACGCGCAGTAATTCACTGTTTTCTGATAACCGTCCAAGTATTTCGATTGAAAAACAATCAAGCGGAATGCACGAAATGTGCCCATTAACAACCGTTCGTTTTGGTGAAACTTCGGCTTACTGGTTTGCTCGCCCCGGAATGTGTCAATTTTCGGTGCAGAACAACCATAAGGTTTCCCTCTGTTGCTTTTAATGATGCCTGGGCACATCTTTTATCGGGAAAGATGTTTCCCGTTTTTCGAATAAAAGTAAGAGAACAAAAGAGCAGATACAATCACGGCTATTTTTATCTCCAACGTGACGATTGGTTTGCTAGCTAACCTGAGCTGGGCTGAGCAATCTAATTGTAAACGTTTCATCACTGGATGAGATGTCATGATCAGTGTGTTGTTGACTAGTGATAAAACGCTTGTGACCAGATTTTCCAGCTCTGCGAACAAACCAAAGACCATCTACGCTATCTGACCTGGAAACATCATCCTCAATAGCAAACTATAATTTCATGGTACAACTAACATCAGTCTAGGCGGAAAAGCTGAGGAACACCAAACTTCTACTATTCTATCGTCACCGGTGCACAACCGGCGATGATCTAGGGAAGTTCGAACCTTAGCCTTCCGGTTGTCACCAAACAGTTTGACCACCGGTGGCTCAGTCGCTGACATCCGAATTAGCCTTCGCCCTGCAACCAGGCTCTTGTCAACTAAAAAGCTAGCCAACATATGATTGCCGGCTGCGAAGTGCGTGATCTGTCGATGGCGCCTTGTTCTGTCTAGGTGCAAGTCAGTCACATTTCACACGAGACACTCGCGGCCGTATGGTATAGTGGTAAACTAGTAACACGAAGGTTAGGACACAACAAGAATGAAACATATATTGGCTAACGAAAGAATGTCTAAAAATTTGTTTAATTTTTTTCCACCATTTGCTATTTTCCAACAAGCCACACTTCGGAAAATGACAAACCGCGTACGATTAGCCTGAGTTTTTCAGAAGCTTCGTAAATGACAAAGCCATTAGCTTAGGGATCCTGGACCCTCGCATTATACTATGTGGTCATGAGTACCTGGAAATGTTACTGTAGGGATCTAACGCCACCTGAACTGTACCCCCAGGGTTGTGCGATTTGGGGACTCTGTCGAATCCAAGCACCGCATAAACACCGTTCCCCCACATTTTTCGCCAATTGTATAGGCCAAATAGTTCGGCCACTCCAGAAGCGCAAGCAGCAAGTGAAAGAGTTCTTGAAAAACTGAATTTGAACAATCCGTGCACTTGAGTTAAACCATCAGATCAATTTTGCTGACACACGTGTAGCTCGATCAGCACTCAGGCCCACACACACAGCAGTGGGTCGGAGACCCGACTTAGAACAGGAATCCGAACAATGATGCACAGCAAACTCAACGGACACAACTACAGATTGGGCCGTATCCCAGTCAGTGTCAGTCATGCTGACCGCTCCCAGTAGATAGATGATTTCGGTAGCAACGCAACCAGGATACACAATAGCATCATCAATAGCATCCTTACCGGTTATTATTCAACGGACTGTAATTGTTTAAAGGTTGCCCACGATAAATAGAACGTCGGAAGCCAAAAAGTTCAATAATTTCGGTCATTTTCAAATTCATGTCCAGCTGCCCAATAAATATCCGACGTCTTGACTTATATCATGATCTGTAAAGGCTTGAAAGTTAAACCCAGGCTTATGCATATTTTTCATATCCTTGTGAGAAATAAGCTGAAAGTAAAACTGATGGAATAGGTAACCTTCACCATTAAGTAGTAGTCGCCGCGCCTTGGACGCACAATGCATTTTTCTGCAAAACCCTAGTGGATGAAAGAAAAAAATTTCACGTCAAAATGTTGCACTTCTTTGCATATGTGCTCAGTCCAAAACTCACCCTCACCTGCATTAATTGTTTTGCGATTTGTTTTAAGTAATCTCTTTTCGAAATTTTTGGCGCATATTCGATTTTCTTCAAAGTCGATATTGGTGCTTTCATTCAGTAACCATAGCACCAACGCTGTTTTGCGTAACGACCGGGTGTACTACAAGTGCAGCAGGCAACCTTCAAGACCAACAAATGGCCGGGAAACCCAAAGAAGCACAACCACATATTGTCAAGGTTTTTGACTGCTAACAGCAGTTATCGAGTAAAAGTTGTTTACAAGAATGTCACCCCCGCATGTTTTGCATCCCCCAAGGCCATGTAGATGCTGGAATGTTCGGGGAATTATTTCAGCTGGAAAACTACCTGAAAGTTCCGTCCATTCTAAGTGGGTCAACGTTTTCCACAATTCGCGGTTTCTTATTACATTAGGCAACGTGGTGTTTATTGACCTTGGAGATTGGCTCACTTAAACAAATCACCATAATAGATCATTTGCAATAATACAGGAACATATACATAGACATTCTACATTATAAAGTAGCAAGCCTGAGAATGCCGTAGCTTTCACGAATCAATTTCATTGTGCGAATACTGAGCGGCCTTGTAGTCTCAGTGAGACGCCTTTGATTCAAATACTTAGTTTTCCCGCCATTCACACTCTTGATATCACTCAAGGTGCAGTGTGTATATGTCACATTAAAGTTGGCATGATTCAGCACAATGCTGAATTTTCAGATTTCTTCACTACTGGCAGCATCTTCCATTTCTGCGGCTTATTTGTGTTCGCAAGTGCTCCCCCTTCTGTTTGCGGGGGATGATTCTAATTGGACCATGTCGGTAACAGAGAAGGAATGAGTTCGAATTTCGGTCCTGGTGGACTTATTCACATGGTCATCCACTTGACTATTCCATGAGTTGAAATCTGGTTGCTTGACCGCTCTCCTGGCATACCAGCAATTTATCTAGGGTGGACCAGTCGTCATATCGTACGAAGACAACTCTGGTAGGAGAAATGGTTACTGGTAGTTGCGCACGTCATCAGCGCGAGTACATCTTCAGACTATTGTCTTATTTGTTCAGCTGCGCATCTCAACGAGTCTGTGGATATAATCCAGTGTTCCACGTCAGTTATTAAACCAGCTTGAAAACCAAACGCTCATTAGGGGCAGAAACATCTGCAGTTGTGAGCGAAAGAAAGTTGTAATTCAATCCAGGTTGTGGGATTTGTTTTTCCCAAGCGGTGATGACACAGAGGCGTTTTTCTCCATCTTACTACGTCATAACGAGTGTGGAAAGTCGAACGGACTAGTGAGCTTTCTCAGTTTATAAACAGCTCTTCATCATCTCAGGTCTCGGTGGGCAAATGAGATCTCATGAGATCATGAAATTCGCCGATTAAATATTTTATTCTGCCCCCCGAACGTCAATTTTTCCCGTCTCAAAACGATTATAAGTGAAATCATCCTGAAACGGTTCGGGTTTGAACCAGAGTTCTCATCGTAAATCAAGAAATTGGCGATAGCTCTTCCCTCTAAAGAAAATTTACTCAACGCAAAGACTGTGGACGCAACGGCAAGATGCCGTTCCGAGCTCTATCCACCAAAACCGGAATATCTCCTGAAGTTGCCCAACCACTGCATTCCAAAGCGTGAGCAGACGTATTCATGTGTAAATCGTTCTGGCAATTCTAACTGTTTCTGCAAGAGGATAGTGGAACAAAAATAAGAAACTAACGTTCATCGTTTCAGGGGAGGGGTATAATGAACATTCGGTGAAATTAGTACTGGGCAACTTTTCGCCTTTATATCCGAAGCGATGACTACTCAATCGTTCCGAAACATTTTCTCATTGATTTAGCACAAAGTTTCACATCTGGGTCTAAATATTAGAATTCTTGTACTTTTATGAAAGGTGTACCGTCCCCCCCCCCGAAGAAGAAGCAGTCGGCAAAAAGAATGTCAGCTGACATTTTGTAATACAAAAAATGTCATACGAGGGGCGTTTAACTCATAATACGGTCAAACTGCCTAGTATTGTCACGTTTTAGACGGACCATGCAGAAAGCTGTCGCTGTTGTTACCGAACTCATCAAAGCGAAGAGAAATTGTGCTGCTGGCGAGACTTAGTTCATTCGTCCGCATGTACTAATCTAGTGGGAGAAGTTGATGAGTAAAGTCTACCTACCTCGTTTGTGTTGCTAACGGTGTGACTGTTAACCGACCCGAAAAACGTGTTGAGTGTGATGAGTGAAATTCACACGTGAACTTATCATTTAGCTTGTAGTGTGTCACGGGACTAAAAGCGAGGGTTGTAATTTATTTCATAGGATGATTCGGTTGAGCATATTCCTTGCCTGGATGTATTGACATAGCTCAGTCTTCCTTGGAAGAACGGAGTAGTGCTCACAGAATGCAGGTCACGCATGCGTATTTCTTGCACGGTAAGCTATCGTTCCACCAAATGAACTCATACGCAGATGGTGGAGAGCAGCTTTATAACTTAGTCTCATCAATACACCCAGCTAACAGCGCTGGTAAGAAGCGTGCTACACGCTCAGTTTTTGTAGTTTATTTATGAAGTATTCACACAGTCAACGACCGGGAGAAATTTCATGCTTCCTACTAGTCGGTTTGAACTGCAGCGTCTCCAATCGAATAATCAAAACAGTTCAGCAGCGTTATTCTACTCAAACTTTTCTTCCCGGTTAGTCATTCTCTTCTTGCTTGCTTTTGTGACACTCTATGAACAATGAAAAACCCTTGGTGACGTCCGTGATAAACGGCGAATCTTCCAGGTTTGATGAGAGAGAGCTCTTGTGGGGCAAGATGGCCCAAGTGGTTAGAGCGCGAATTTACTGACCGGAAGGTCCGTGGTTCGAACCCGACCTCTGCCTCTCGACTTCCCCTGTCTAGGCTTGGGCAACCTGGCAATATCTCGGCCCACGTGCAACCTTCAGGTGGCATGGCAGTTAGGCATAGAAAGGGTGCTACGGCTGAACGAGAGCTCCTGGTTCAATTATCTAGAAACTTTCTTGCAGTTGTGACCGGAGGCACATTATCAAGTGTAAGGTCCTGGGGGCAACGGAGAATACGAACTGAATTCTTACTTCTGAGAAATGACCAAGATTGACCGGTATCATCTTTGTACCATAAGCTGTAAAAAGCTCGGTTGACCAAGAGCCACAAGGGTCACGTAAGACTGATTTTCGACGTTTAAATAACATGGTGGTAGGAATGGACTTGATAATAATAATGTGTGGAAACATACGCGAATCAGACACGAGAGAACCCTTAAATCCATACCAGCTGTGTTGTCAGGGCAGATAAATAAATCTCATCGATTAGTCACCTGACCGTCGTTTGACCTAGTCCACGAATATGTCAGTTTGGGTGCGACCAATCGCACGACCATTGGAATGTTGACCTCGTAATTTTAGACGCCTGATGTGCATACGGTTATTTTGTCTCTTATACTGAAGCATTCGAGCAATACACTCCAGCCAGTATTGTGGCGTCATTCGCTCGGTCTGTCCTTCATCCTTTCGTCTGTCGTCTAAGAGTTGTTCGTTTCCCTTAAGAAGCCATCCAGAGATGCTATCTGTAAGATTCACTCGCTCAATTTTAACTCGAACTATCGCATTTCGATTTTGAGTGAAACGTTTAGTTAACCGTAGCTGAAAGTTTTGGCGTTTTAGCAGCTGTCTCCAAGTACCTAGAATGGTCATCTTAACGGCTGTCTTGCGGGAATTTTGGCGACATAAGCACGTGGTAGATAACTATAAGTTTGCACTGCTTGCAGCGAACCCTTGCCGTATATTTGTTCTGACGATCCTGCACGGTAATTCTACGGAAATCTGCCTCAGAACCAGCAATTTCGCAACAGGGGACCTGCTCCACCAATCTTTGTTTACCTGTTCTTTAGTGAATAAATGTTTTAGACAGAACCCCCATAGAAGCGTTGTGGATGAAGATGGATGGAGGCTGGATGAAGGATGAAGGTGAGGACGGCCCAATTCCGTTTGGACACCTAAAATTTTTACACCGCGGCTTCAACTTGAGTCAGTTATACGGCTTGTGTCTGCCTACACCATTCAAAATCTACTGAGGATATTAGCTAAAGTCACATATTGGATTAAAAAACTAGTTCTGCCTTTTTCAGGGTCTTGTCAGACCAGCCGATGTTGTAAGGCCTCAAGCCCTGGTATCTCTACCGATTTGTAGACCGATTCACCTTCCAAAGGGATAATCGGTGATGTGGTATCCAAGACCACCTATACTCGTTTTCTGGTGAAGCCAAACATCCCAGGCTTGGACCTCAGCGTCATTGTTTGCTTTGCGCGACTGTTCAGTGAAATCTTACCTCAAGGGTGCAATCTGACACAATGTCTTGATGCACTCATGCATGTGGCAAACGTACGAAACCGAAAAAGAGAATCGATAAGATCTGTACTTGAAATCAATTTGTTACAACCACTCACATTAAAGTCCGTGAAATTTGGAAGGATGTCATTGTTTGATTTTCATACCAAATTCAGCCAAACTCGATGAGGTGAACAAATTTGGGTGGAAGTGCCTGCGAATCGTCCTTATTCCATACTGAGATTTCTAAATCACTCATCATTTCAACATTGTCATCTGTAATAACCGTGTACTTGTCGGACAGTGGTTGTAGCTATTCCAGTTTCATTCACCGATGGTTCGGGGTAGTAAGCTGCCTACTACCTGTTCATTTTCAAATCGTTTAAGGACAATAAGAAAAAGTAAAGCCATGACCCAGGAAAAGCTCATAATCACTGGCCGACAAAAGGCTCAGTATGCATTTTCAAAGTGTCCAATTGTAGGATAAATGAGAATTCATTGACTGCTCACCAAATATTCCTTGTAGAAGCAATCGTCGTTTTATCCACTTTGACTAGGTCTCAGCCTTCAAATCTCATGTAACGAGCCCAAACGCGGCATTTTCCCAAAATGCATATGAAACAATCGGCTGGAGCCTGCCCACTAAGATTTTCAATACAATATTTGAAAAAATCTACTCACTGAACACTCGCTCGGTTGTTCTCGTAACAATCTTGGAACACTTTGAAATACTAATGCTCAGCAGTCATTTCCCTCAATTTGTGTTGGTCTTCTCACTTCATCGGATGGATCAACTGGTCCGATAAAAAACAGGCACGTCCGGGTGAATGAAAAGTGTAAATGAGAGGAAAGTCTAATTTTGGGGATGTCCATCACCCACCCTATTGCAAGTGTCATGATATTCAGATTCTACTTTCCAACTGACGCGAAGCGGAGTTACAAGAAACCATATTACTTGCATGTATTATCAGTAGTATCAACCATCACACCAGTACTCGAGATGCCTATGATTTTCTCGACATGCAGTTGCTGTTGACCTTTGGAAAGCCGGCGCTGTCTTAAATAACCTCTCGTAAATACTTGCTGAAAAATTAATGGGTCTTTATTGGTAGTTCTTTTGATAAAATGCGTGCAATCTGGGAAGGCCAAGTAACCAATTGTTCATAGTCACACCACTATCGTTTGGACCGACGTCCTCCTGTTCTGGCGCAATTATTTCGGTGAGTCCACACCAAAGAGCGAGGCACTGGACTCGAGTTTCGCTCTTATTAGACCTCATCAGCAGTGCATATCCAATGGCTGTGCCAGGATTTAAACCCCGGACATCTGACATGCGAAGCGAGCGTGTAACCACTACTCCACCAACGCACGTTGGACGTGTTTTGATACCTGAGAAATTACTCCACCACATAACTTATCAGGTACGCCTGGAGGTTACCAGTGCTTGTTTTTGGGCAGGTTTGTGGTTCGCAACGTGAACGAAATACAGTGTATTGCAGAAGGTTGACCCAGCATCCGTTACATTTCTACCTTTGTGTTGATTACTGGGAAAAACCTGAACCAGTGAAGTGGTTTTAGGGAATTCATGCAAATAATTGAAAGGAAATGTGCTCGAAACATGTGCAGGCCACGTCATTGCAGCCTTCACTGTTTTATCAGGATGTACTGCTGACGTCACTCACACAGATCAAGGTCAATCGGTTGTCGTAAATAGAACACGTATACAGATTGTACTGTTGAAAGGTATCCGAAAGCAGTTGTTTTATCAGGATGTACTGCTGACGTCACTCACACAGATCAAGGTCAATCGGTTGTCGTAAATAGAACACGTATACAGATTGTACTGTTGAAAGGTATCTCGAAAGCAGTAAAATTCTCCCGCTTAAGATGTGATTCGCTTTTCTCTCTTTAGTCAGATACGAAACATTTGGAGTTACGCATTCACTTTCGTAAGGATTCCTGTATGATGAGACTTATTCCGAAATTGATTTTATCAAGAAGAACCACCAGTGTGATTTTTCAATAAGAAATTTCTATTCAGAGTGGTCAAACAAAATTTATTTCTCAGATGATTTAGAGCAATATTTTCGAATAAACTCAGGTGTCTCGGAAACATTCTAAGAGGGAATGCTGAGAGTCGCTCTACTGCGGGTTAATTTCTCGCCCTGTCTGTCTCCCTCCCCAAGTGGGCTCACTTTCGCATAAGTGGATAAATCCGGCTGAATATGTAGACTAACCAAGAACGCTCATCCCCAGGATTCACACACCGTAGCTGACGTAGCAGGTGACGAAATGCATTTTATTCCTGTCTGACGTAAAACTAGAGCACCAGCTTTCGCCATTTCGTTGGAATATTCTATAATGAAAATGCAGTCGTTGTACGGGATAAATATTACACCGTGTTGAATTATAAATTGACTTGCCCAGAACTACCGCAAACCCTGACCGATTCCCCAGAACATCTAGGACTTTCTTTGTTACCTAGTTAAGCAGTCGTGTCTAGTTTTATTCGTCTATCCCGAATAAATTTCTAACCACAACCTTATCAGTTTTCGAAACGATGTCTTGTCGATGCCTTGGGATGGCTGCGGTGTTATCGCGAATAGTGACCAGGAGGTGGGCAACCTTGAAAATAGAAATGTACGTGGACTGCGGGCTTTAGCTTTGACGTCCGACCCGAAATTTTGGCACCGGCCCCTGTTTTTGCTCACAAAGATGGAAACAAGATTGATCGAAATCGGGCACCCCGACAAAACCGATCGGTTGACGTTAGCGTCACTGCGGTCAGAGTGAAAACACTCAGTCTTTTCCTAGCGCCTAGCTAATGAACAAGGCTTCGGGGTTGCAAACACAGGACCTGTTTCATTTTGTCCCTTGCATTAACCTACTAAGTATTGGGAATCTCGAAATAGGAAGAGCTTTTACTCTGGATGTGAGGCACCCACCAGAAAGCAACAGACGGGCCTATCTTGGAACAAACGGCTACTATGAACTGAAAAATCGTAATACGTAATAACGTAGGTTTGTGGTGATTGCACTAGCCTACCCCTAAACTCAATTCTTAGTAATCCAATAATCTTAAAAACAAAGCAATGATGGTAAACTTTAAAAGTTCCCTGTTGGTCTCCAAAGAGCTTTGCGCCATCCAAGATGGATCGAAGACTGATATATCTGTAGCCTAGGTTCTGAGTCCACCCGGATAATTTTGAACCAAGCGTTTAAAATTTGGTTTCTCATCGCATACATTCCCATCTTAATTGTAAATGATATGGAAAAAAGATCCTACCAAAGGAAACCTACTGTAAATGTTTGGAACACCTTTCGTAACTATTTACATTTCTTCGATAGTATGTGAATACATCTTATTAGTTCTATTTTGCTTCATTCACCAAGTTGATAAAGATCGATATTCCTAACCAGCAGAAGTACGAGAAATGCGTTCTTTTTGGTTCACTTACCACTTTGTCTTCGACATTTGGAAAGTTCCAGAAGCTGATCATCCCTTTTCTTTCGGATAGCACCATACGTTGGTAATCATCAGATCAGGATTGCCCGTTTCGCCTTTGATGGGTTATTGGAGGAGAGGGAGATCGATAACCACGTTTTTTTAATCCCAAATGTCAGCATGAATAATGGGCTTTTGTTGAACGGAATTTTCCAGGCGCCAAAGTACTTTGTGTTATGTTTTACAATTGGCCACTTGGAATTTTTGACATTATGTGGTAAGAATAGGCTTGCCGATAGCGGGAGCGTTAAACGCCACTTGAAATATACACCGACGTCCCTTGGCAAAACGTTTATCGTCCTATGTAACTGCTCAGTATATAGCTTTAGTGGGCTTGACTTCAGAGACAATCCAAGTGTGTTTCTTCCAATTACTTCCATTTGCACCGAAAACTTTCGTCAGGAGTAGGCGCGGCACCAACGGGCTGAGCACGCATGAGGAAAACAATGACGCTTTTGGGGGTACCGACGGCACTGGGTTCTCAAGTGGGTCTCTCATGTATCTTGTGGTCCATCTCAAAAATTGTGTGCATAAGTTCCAGTTTGAGTAGCAAAATGATCCAACAAACCACTTGTTGGAAATTTTAATGAAACTGTCACTTGTGCTCGTGGTTTTATTCTTGAAGCTCCTTTAGGGCCAAAACAGGGGGTTGGTGAACATCTAGTTCTCACTGATGGAGCTTGCGCCTGAGTACTGCCAGACTCGTAAAAAGGATAACTCGGATAAATTCAGGTTAACTGAGCAACTTTGCGTTTCACCTCCATCACGCACAATGTTCTCCCATAGATTTCACTCAGGTTCACAAATGCAACGTTTTTTATATGAATCATGATTTATTCCGGGGCCTGGGTACCGTAAACTGGGCTATATTATAAACGAAATCTTGTTAAATTTTACCGCCCACAACGGTTAGACTATTGCGTGGTTAGCACTCAGAAATGCAATTCGGTCTGTACTAAAATGAAGCGAATTACCTGCTTAAGCCTAGATTTACTAGCCCAACATATCGAACCACGAAGTATCCAATCAGATCGATCTCCATGTGCCACTCAAGAAATTGCAAATCACATCCTACTTAATTCGATCAACTTTACATCCCGAAATAAAGATACCTTTTCTTTTCTAGCAAACGTATTTTGTCACCAATAAAGAATAGTTAGAAAAGTTTTCAAAGGCGACTACTACCCACAAAAAAGTAAGAAGTCTGGCTATCAGCTTGAAAAAGCGTTGATTGGTTAATAAAACTTGCTGGCTGTGCACCGAAACCGTGGGGAGGAAACCAAAGGGTTCGATTTCATTTCACCAAAGTTTTTTTCGAAAAATTTGCTCATGTTTGTACGGTATTTTGGATCTGAGTACAACGTAGTTGACTGGCAGTGCGTTCTGTAATCGAGTTCCCTAGATAACAGTCGCCATCCTTATATTGGACCAGTATGTGCGTGCTCAAGTCTTAATGGCGTCCACCTAATTCCGAGTAATTATTGAGTCTCAAAGTAACAAGGACGTTTTCGCTTTATGTTCTTCACCTACTGTTTTGCGCTCGATTACAGAACTATTTGTTGAAGGCTTTGGAAAAAATTGCATGAGTGTGCCTCAATAATGAGCGGAGGTTCTTTTTACTCGTATAAGCAGTCCACATAGCTACAGACGGTAATTGTGTATTCATTGAATTACGCATTTGTAGAAGCTCTAGGAATTGTGATGTTTTGGTGTTTTCGTCTCCGGGAAGTGCGGTAACTCTTTTACTAAAAGTCTCCTCTGAGCCGCAAACTGTGTTAACGCAATTTTTTCCACGTTTTGTCAAGTTTGGTTCAGGAAACTTGCAAACTTCCGGTATCTGCGCGTTACAGATTGGAAACACATCGCCAGTGTATCGCTTGTGTACGTAAAATGGAACATAGAAGTACAAATTGTTCGTGTTCCGTACCAGGTGTTGAGTAGACGGTTGGGCTGAAAACGTCAAACACTTGTTTTTGTTTTATTTGTTCGGTTTACTGAATGCTGATTTTACGTAGGTTCGATCGCTTCTTCTGGCTTTCACTGCATTTATGCGTAATAGTGATTTTGACCGTTGACACCCAAATCAACCGTGTTTCAAGGATATTCACGGTATAAATAGGAGCGAAGATTTTGTAAAGTCAACAGGCACCCGTTCCTCCGGGAGTACTGTCCCCGGAATCGAAGTTCAGCATTCTTTGACTAAAGGGTCTATCTGATTTGCAGGTACGTTTTATTCGCTTATGCATATTAAAGCCGAAAGCTCAGTGCAGTTATGATATTCCTCTGCGCAGTGTGTGACATCGAGGTTGCCTCGAAATTCCGTAATATGCGTATTCAATGTGGATAACTGCTTGATCGCACAAAAGCTATCCGTTGCGTTAAATCCGAAACGAAGTTCGTCTCCACTTCCCGCATAGAAAAAAATTTCTGAGGCTGCAATTCTTTTCCGTATTTTTCATCTTGCTTATGTCGACCGCACAACTCAGCGGACACGTCCCCAACGCGGTTTAATCCGAGATTTACAAGTTCTGTCAACTCCACAGCCTCACGACAGCGCACTGATATGACACTGTTTGTCTTAACGAGCGCGGAAGTTGTACTTGCTTTAGAGTCAAATAGAGCATCTTTTCCAAACCTTGGATCCTCACATCCGACACGGGATAATTCGGCAACTGTTTGCAGCCTGATGTACTGTGAATTCCCAGTCACCCAAATGGTGTTAATCCCACTGATTGAGTTAGGCCGCCGTCCTATTAAGTAGGGCGGAATCTTGAAATGACCTTAGAGGACAGCATCCGTTTTGAGTGGAGAGTGGATGCTGCAAACTTATTCAGCGGACAAGTTGACCTGACGTGAAAAATATTCACACACATTAAGGTACAATCGGAAGCAGGCTAACAATTCCACCTCTATCTGAGCTCAGCTGGTAACTTCACGCCTACATCAAACAAAACCCTCCAATCGATTTGTTCCCCATGGCTATTTATTTGTCAGACCAGAAAAAACCGATTCAGTTGACTCTGTTGACCATTTTGGAAACAATAATATTTCAAACACAAACCTAGAAAGTCTTGATATTGAAAGGATTACTTGTAAACTGATTCGACGTCACCTCAAAATAGGGTAGTTCGCCAGAGTGCTTAGAAATTGAGAGCGCTTAGTTTGGTCGACAGGCAAAAATAAATCACCAGTCAAGTCAGACGTCTTTGGTCTCAACTTGGTGAAGCCTCCTCTGAGACCCTCCGTGTTGATCAAGCCCGAAGTCAACTGGCTCAGCCGTGAACTGGACAGGCCTATCTAACTGTATCCTCCATTTCGCGGCATGGGAGCTCTAAGTACGCCATCTCCTTCCAAGTTCTTATCCACCCCACCAAGTAGAGAGGCAAAGACCTACATGAGAACAGTCAAAAAGGGCCTTTCTTAATTCCCAAGCTGATGCCTTGTGTTTTCTTGTGAATGGTCCACATCAAGCTTCGAATGTGGTGCTATTCTCTCAAAACCTAATTCGGGATTTTTATATCAATATTGGCAGGACCAAATTAAGCGCACTGGAGGAACTTCGCCATGTGGTGATTGGAGAATCTCTATGTAGTGACTGAACACAGATCGCGTGTGACTTCCGGTCTGATATCCGAATAGCCTTATTTGATCGACGTTGTTGGCAATACTGAAGGGCACAAAGACACCCCAAATGCTTTTTGAAACAGGTATGCAGCAAAACGTTACCAGAAATGTCTAATGTCGTAAACAAATTCAATCGACATATTTATATATCGAGCCGGGGAATGCGAACAAGTCAATCCTCAACTTATCAAAATGGCCAACAAAGGGGAACCAGTGTAAAAATGACTAAAAGACTGACCAACAACGTCTATCTACTGGTGTGCACCTGTTGTAAAGCTACGTTAGATAAATCACGAGAACCTTATCTCAACAGGCAAATTGTTAAAGCTACTTACGGCTGAATTGTCAAACAATTCAAAGATATAAAATGTCAAGCTCATCCCGTAGCACCAGTTATTGTTATTTGTGAGGATGGTGTTAAATTACTACACGATAACACACGGCGTAATCCGTCGCACTCGGAATTCAAGTTCCCTACCTACCATCATCTCCGTGGTTCTACTCTGTTGCCAGCTGCCAGAAGACAGGACAAGGCTAACTTGCGAGGCCTAAAAACTGACGCACGACACGCCGTGTCATTCGTCACATGTTTGTGATTAATGTAGCTACGAGGTAAATCATTCAAACGCCACATGTGATTAGGCGTTAGGGCCCGTCGACCAGACCCTCAAAAATGTTTGGTCACCCAAAACAGGTGTTTTCAAAACACCTACGCAGATATTTCAGTTTATCGGGAAAGGAAATATGGTTTATCACGACTGCAGTAGTGAAAAGAGCTTAGCGGCAAAAAAACGGACAGTTTTCTTTCCACAAAAGCACTCCCTGCTGCCTGAGGCGCCTAAGCTTTTATTTCAGTTTATCGGGAAAGGAAATATGGTTTATCACGACTGCAGTAGTGAAAAGAGCTTAGCGGCAAAAAAACGGACAGTTTTCTTTCCACAAAAGCACTCCCTGCTGCCTGAGGCGCCTAAGCTTTTCTTTTAAGATCACCTCTTCGCTGCATGGTTAAACAGCAAGCGAGTGGAAAACAAATCGTCACACATTCCTGCAGGTTTTGTCTCGTTAAACCTCATACGTTCTGCAGTCAATCGACATAGGAGGCAAAATTTAAAAAATATGCATCGAATCCATGCGTGAACTCCAGAATAAGCATACTGATGGTCCTGAGTAATTTATTTAGTGCCTGAGGTGGCTGTCCTTTCGCACTAAGCTAGAAATAACCTTGCTCTGAATTGTAATTTCTTAACTGATGTCCATTAGTTGTAAGGTTTTTGATTAACCCAATATCTTGAGCCTGTGCTGAGGTAGGTTCTAGTTGCTCAGTTGCCTCCTGGGGGAGCACAGCAAAGAAAAATTGCTCTCAGCGATCTACATTCATTTACATAGCAATTTGGTGTTGATGGGGTACTCAGCTGGAACCCAATCTCTCCACTCGACTATGGTGTTCTTAAGCAACTGAAGTTGCTGCACCAGGCCGCCTCAAGTTCCAGACGATACGATATTCCAAACAGGATGGAAATAGCACTAATTTGGCTCTAACGGGGGAGGCCCACCTGGCTTTCCTCTGAATCTCTCGGTAATAATGTTCACCTGAACATGCCGCAAAAAGACTGCCCAATTTTCCAGTCTGGACGCGGGTATTGTTCGGCTAGGTCTCGCGCTGGCACCGGCCGATGCACAAATGAGTTCATTTCATGAAAATTGCTTGGTTTTGCAACGCATGAATAGCTACGTTCCACAAAATAGCTAAGACGATGTCATCAAATTACGCGGTATCCATTTGAACCCTATAGTCACAGACAAATGCCGATAAAGCCCTCAGTGAACTTTTTTAATAATGGAAACTACTCACAAGGTTGCTAAAAACTGCTCGACAGCCCATGACCGGTATTCGCCCTACTTGGGGTTCATCAGGTAGGCGCAGTCCCCGAGTTTCCGTCAACCTTATGTTCTAAATGAACCCGAATTGGTCTGTTTTCGAGAAATACACCCATTTACATATCAATTTGGTTTTCACGACAGACTCAACTGAACCTTGTTGTAGAATATCATAAACGAGAGGTTTCGTTGAGTCTCTCGTGAAAACAAAATTGATTTGCAAATGAGTGTATTACTAAGTGAACTGTTTCGTCCACAATGTCTACACAAATCCGCCCATATTCGGATGATTTTATTTCATTCTGCTCATAGTCACACCGCTTTCGTTTGAACGGTCGTCTTCCCGTTCTGGCGTAATTATTCTGGTGAGTCCACACCAGAGGGAAACAGTGGACTCGAGTTTCGCTCCTATTTGAACCCCGGACATCTGACATGCGAGGAGAGCATGTAAACACTACCCCACCAACGCAGGTTGGACGCATCTGAATTTTCACGTCTGAACAGGCGAACGTGTTCGCACTTGAGCGATGTGATTGGTGTGCCCGACCCATCGAACGACGACCCAGTAACTGTCCTGGATGTAATTAGTGTGCCCTTCGATGCTTCACTCGAGAGAAATCAGAAGATTCTCTCAATTCTTTAACGACCCAATGCAGGACAGAATATTTCCATGCGTGTTGGGCCCGCATCGGAAGATGTCAATTCCAAAGTTGTAAGTGACGGCGTTTTTTAGTACTTATTAAATCCTTGCCGTCTTTCGTATCACAACAGTGATAAAAAACAGCGATTCACTGTAGTACAACCATAAACTATTTTAATTCCTTATTTTGAAGAAAAAATGGAGGGAGAAAGGATTTGCTGCTGAACTCTAGAATCGTTCCGAGATGTTTGTACCCTCAGACACGCATTCGGAAAAATCCGAATGGAAACATGCAAAAAAACGCTTTTGGAATAGATATTCGGATCTGTTTTGTAGCTGGCACGGTGGGTAAATAGTTTCCCATCCTGGGAGACAGGTCACACTCAGGCAGTTCACAATTTTTCATACACCTCTTCCGGGGCGAAGTTTGGCGACCACTCTTCCTGTGCTACTATGAAGTGGGTACAAATGACAGCAGTGTTTTTGGATAATGATGATTCAGCATGCGTAATACATGGCCAAACCACCGCGTGGAGCCTTCTGAATGGGATTTTTCTATTCCATAGTTTCATTTGGAACTAGGCGTCACACCTCATGGTGGTCAATGACTTAGGCATTTGAAGTTTCCCGTTAGGTTTGATTGTGCGACCTAAACAAAAAAGCACCGTAGCCTATGCAAATGTCACATACTTCGATAGTGAACCACATGCCAAAACACGGTGCCCCCTTCTCGCGGGTTGAGTTGCCGTGAAAAAATCAAAATTGTTCAGCTGTAGCAACGTTTCAGTGCCTAACTGCCATGCCACTAGAAGGAAGCACGAGGGCTGGGATAGTGCTAGGTCGTCCAAGCCTAGACAGGGGAAGTTTTAGATGCACAGGTCGGGTTCTAACCACGGGCTTTCCGATCAATAAATTCGCGCTCCAACCGCTGAGCTATCTTCACTGATAGTTCACTTGTTAACTTCAGTATCTTGATTCATTTTACTTCATACAACGGAGATAGAATTTCAGACTTATTCGCTTCGAAGCGCTCCATAGATAGATATTACTTCTGAGCGAGTAACGCTGCTTACCTGATGAAAAACAATTCAGAATGCCAAAAGAGTTTGTCTGCGTTGTTTGATAGGTTTTCTTATAAAGAAGGAGTAATCGTTTTATTCAAACATGTGCAGCCGATTTATTGGAATCTTAACGAAATAACACTGGTTATTTTATAAATCAGTTGCAATTATTTCATTTCCCATTAAATGAAGCGTCTGGCGGGTGTTTATTTCCGCTTGACGAATAGTAAAACGCTCTGATCCGTTTCAACTGAGAAATGTTGCCCTTCAGTAGTTCACTGATGTGTGAATACGATATGAAAGACAGAGCGGAACTTGAGCGATGACAAATTCCGCTTGAATGAAATCGTCAGACTGCCTAATTGATGGTCATCACGACTGGGTAAATTTTTGCATCATTTGATGTAATTAATTGTGCCAACTTTGAGGAGCCTATTTATTTATTGCAATCAAGCACATGATTTGTTTTTCTTTTTTACACAACTCATGTGACTTTCGTTTTTTTAATGAAAGTTACTCGTCTAGACAAGGTAGTTTAGCGAGCTTGTTACACGGAACAAACAGTGCACTGGGATGTGCAAAGCGTTGTTGATATAATCAACAGGCTTGGTGAACTTTATCCAACCTCTTGGATACCCAGGCTCTTCTGGTCTTTTGAATTTTTTTCTTTTGGATAATATGGCGAAAGAATCGGCCTTGTCCTGTTCACTGAAATTCCTCTGTTCTGCGCATGGGACCGTATGAATGTTTCTCAATCCGAAATGGATGACAACGGGAGTTTAGGTGATCATAAAGTCGCATGTAACAGTTTCAGAATTTATCACACGTGCATATCCTTCACAGTAGAATTCACTTTCACATCAGTGCGATTTGAAAGGTCTTGCTGTGTCCTAGGTTGATTGTTTTAGTGAGTCCACCTTGGATGTGAAGCACTAAAACCTGGTTGCACATCTCATGACATTAGAAAAATACTTTACCCGCTTAACCGTTAGGCCACGAGCGAAAGCTCAGCATTACGATAGGTTCTTGTTGGAGAAAAAAAGAAGAAAGAACGCGTCCAGCTGTAACACCCTTCGGTGCTTAGTCAATCCGAAATGGATGACAACGGGAGTTTAGGTGATCATAAAGTCGCATGTAACAGTTTCAGAATTTATCACACGTGCATATCCTTCACAGTAGAATTCACTTTCACATCAGTGCGATTTGAAAGGTCTTGCTGTGTCCTAGGTTGATTGTTTTAGTGAGTCCACCTTGGATGTGAAGCACTAAAACCTGGTTGCACATCTCATGACATTAGAAAAATACTTTACCCGCTTAACCGTTAGGCCACGAGCGAAAGCTCAGCATTACGATAGGTTCTTGTTGGAGAAAAAAAGAAGAAAGAACGCGTCCAGCTGTAACACCCTTTCGGTGCTTAGCTGCCATGTCACCCGAAGGAGGCTCGAGGGCGGGGATACTGCCAGGTTGTCCAAGCCTAGACAGGGGAAGCCGAGTGGCGGAGGTCGGATTGGAACCACGGACCTTCCGGATTTTTTGTTCCATGAAAACTCTCGATCCCCGAGGTTTCACCAACGAGTGAATGTAGTGGTTACACGGACATGCTACTCTCAGTTCTCATGCATTGTTTAGGGTCTTAGCAGTTCATCGTGGGCTCGCCTATCCCCACTACCATTTAGTGTCTGACAACGCAAATATTTTAACAGCATTGGGCAGTGGTGGGATGATTTTGTTCATCTTTCTGACAGAGACACTATCCTGTTTGGTAGCAACGACTTGCCCACAACTGCGTGTAACCATGTTTGTTGGTAGTTAGCTCCTCTTCTCCGTCATTGATTCCATAGACAAACTTTGAATCAGTAGCGTTAGATCAACTAAAGCGTCCATTGTTGCCGTAAGCCAGTGCACAAAACTGAATGAAATCATTGACACTAGGGTTAGTCGTTCAACCTCAAAGATCCACTCATCCGAAAAAACAAAACCATTCGCAATTTTTATACCAGCATGTGCAAGATAACTGTAAATCGCTCGCTCCGTGTTGGTTGTAACTCCACGGTAGGTTGATTCGCATACATACTAAGTGGAAGAATCCAGACAACGGAACACCCACAAATATATTTCCCCAAAGGCACAATTAAGAACACCAGACAGAGGAGAAGACTAAGTGTTCCAGTTTTACTTCTACGGAAATAGAGAGTGGGGTAGTCTATAGGAAACGATGTTCATATTTTTCAGCAATTAACTTGCGATCTGTTCAAAAATGATGTCCCGGATCCAGTGACACTCACTTAGAATACGACCACCGTTTTTGTGTTGTTGAACTACCCCGGTGGGGATGCACGTGGGGGGGTTTAAATTCCATCGCTCCGTAAGAAATTATGCTCAAGTACAATCGAAACTGGGTGTGAAATTCTTCAACCGAATATTCTGCACAAACGCCACAGTTGGTTATAAATTTTTTCAAAACTCTCCCAAAGTCCATGAACTCTTTTTTTCCAACCGATTTGTTCGTTTGCATTTCATAAAACCCGCGCTACTACAACGTCAATGCACCAACCGATGTTAACTGCCTGTAGTCATTTCTGTTCGTATTTTATGAAACAAGACACATTGATGGCTCCAAAGAATGTAGAAATAAAATGCGAAAACCAGAAATTTTGTCACAACGCCGCACCGGACACATGCGTCAGAATATTTGTCATCACGGTGTGCAATACAACAGTACCCTTGAATGGAAGACAGTCACGCTTTTGTCAGGTTGCAATGTTGGCGTCTGCCTGTCTGAGTCTGATTCTGGTTTCGATTTGACAGTACTTACTTCCCATTTGGAAGCAAGGAGTTTGGGAAAACAGGTTTGTATATCGAGTGGAGAGTTTGGTGTAAGCCGGCAACCAGCTGAGAGTACAGCTATCATGGGGGTTATTTATAAACTAAACGTTCAGGCATAATGTTCTGGTAACCATAAAAACTGAATGTGTGGGGTGAGAACGAAACAAACACTCCAATTGCTGCCTGAAAGCTGTGTTCTACTGCCGGCGCAATTTAAAGGAGATTCTCTGCCTTGGTAGTGTAAAAAATTGTAGGTGTCTGGGTTGACCTAGCCAGCCAGTAAGACTTGTGGCACACACCCACACTCAATAGATTTCCCACTTCTGAGGATTCATTGTGTCCAGTACACAGCTTGCCAATTGTATTGCAGGCGATTAGCCCGTAGTAGACGTATCATCAGTTGGGTGTTGATCAATAACCATCTGATCAGTAATCAATAAATTCACGTGAGTTTACATTTTACCAACAGCATCTGATTCGTTTGTCTGCGGACCCAGAAGGTTAACAGGGGGACGAATCCGTGACTAAACAGCACGACCAAACCACTGGAGTGTGTGAGATTTCTTATGATTCTTCAATAGACCTCTTCGTTTAAACCTTGCGCCCTTCTCTGATGCGAAAAACTTGTGAATCGATGTTTTTTGAGGCGCTAAATATAGCCTTGAAAGATTCATTCAAAACAAAACTGTAGAATCAGTTAGATCAGTGTTAACTTAATGGCGAGTTCTCATGCCATAGTTACAAAGTCCACCGTTTTTTGTCTGAAGGAGGCAGATATATTTCTAACTTGTCCAGAAATTAGGTTATAAAATTAGACGTCAAGGCAGAATCGTGAAGTCAGTGAGACAGCACTTGAACACAAACTGATAGTACATTTGGTCGGTTTATCTAACATATATATGCAAAGTTTATTTGGCCAGTGAATTTCTTACGTGAAGACAAGTTAGATTTTTGGGAAGCGCACACTGTGTGGGTCACATGTGTGTAGTTATTTACTGATTTCCGCAATGAAATTAGACGATCT